GAGGAGGGTGGGGTGGTTTGAAGTGAGAGAGTAAATTAAATCCGATTGTTTAGGTAAGTAGATATAATTTAAATTAAGGATCTCATTTGCATTTAATTTGCTTCATCTAAGGTATTTTTAAGGCAGATCCAGCATCCTCTTATGCGTATCAGAGACACCCTCCACTCGATCCATTACCAGGTCTCACATATTTTCCGAGAGGGGAACCGGCCTGCCGATTTCCTTGCTAGCACGGGGGCATCTATACCCCAGAGACGCACCCTCCTTCCTGAGGACATCCCCCTTCGACTTCGGACGCTCATTCGGATGGACCAGTTAAAGTATCCATCCTTCAGATTCGGTCGACCGCCACCTCCTGCCCCTGACTAGATTCGGTCACCTCTTATGAGGATTCGATTTTAGATACACATCGTATATTTTTTGTGACCTTTGTATTTTTATTTTTATTTTATTTTTAGTTTTTTATTTTTATTTTCTATTTTCTCTACTTCTGATGTTGCTCTATGTATTTTCGACTTGGATGTAGAACATTAACTTTTTAGCCCTTGCTGGGCCTTATATTCACAGGTCGGGGGTGTAGCCCCAACCCCCATCTCAATCTGGGATGTTTATATATATATTAAAAAAAAATATATATCTAAGGTATTTTTAACAGTTTTAGATAAAATTGAAATATTTTTAGTTTGTGTAGGTAATTTTATAAATAAAAATATAAGGGATATATAAATGTAATATAAATCATGACAAGGGGTGCAAATTCCTCTATAATTTATCCTAGGCTGATTTGGTAATATACTTAAAGAAAATAAAAGATTTGTAAAAATCTCATGTGTTGTTATTATATTGCACTATTATAAAAATTGGTTAAAATAATTGCATTTATACCTAGATTCAGTTACCATATCTGAAAAGGTGTAACCTATCATTGAGGTGAAACAGTTTTTCACGTTAAATAATAGAGATAATAACCAACAAGGAAGGTATTTAATTCCTGAAAATTAGGAAGTTGGTTGAGTGGAATTAGGAAAGATACATCTTTTGAATTTCTAGCGCCTACAGTTTTACACCTTAAATACATCGACGGATATATTTGTTCGAAGCAACATATAACTCATAATCTTGAACATTAATATCCACGAAGCAGGTGTTTTTTTTTTTATCATCTCGATCGATTTATTTGATATGCTCGACATATTTTTTTGTTTATATTTGAAATGAAATCATGTTGGCCGTATACAAAAACGTATATTTTCTTATTTTTTCTGTGTTTTAGTAGATGGATACGCAATTGAAGATCTTCGTACATTACAATGGTGAATGGGTCATGAATGAGTACATAAACTTTCAAGTTTCGGGTATACTAGTTCGTAGAAATTGCAGATTCGACGAACTATGTGATGTACTGAAGGAGAAGCTTGGAATCACGTGTCAAACTTCTGTTATTGAGTTGAAATACAAACTGAAGGACGGATATCCCCTCATTTGCATAGATGATGACATGAGTCTTGCATTTTACGTTGACTTGAAAATGGGTGAGTCAGATTACACGAAGTTCCCAGTTTGCGTGGTCGTGAATTCTCCATTTAATGGACAAGCCACGTTTGAGGGTGCACAAAGGGAGAATGATGTAAATGGTGAAACAAATGTAACACCTTTGGTACATAAGGATCTCGACAAATATACGAAGATAAGAGATGATTCACTCAACTTCATGTCTTTCGCTCAAGGAGTAGCAGCAGATATGGTGGAGGCGATGATATATACGGAAAATATACAGTCTATATACCCCGACAGCGGACAGAGCTTACCTATAGAGCCAAGTAATGAGTCGGATATTGTTGTTGGTCTCTTATTCGAAGATAAACTGATGTTGCAGAAAATGCTGACAATTCATGCTATAAAGAACCAATACCAGTTTAGAGTTGAGAAATCATGCACGAAACAATATTACGTGAAATGTGTGTCTAGTGCGTGCACATGGTTTGTAAGAGCATCCCGTATCGGTCAATTAAGCACGTTTAAGGTCAGAGCCGTTGGGACTGAACATAGATGCGGATTAGATGTTCGTATGGGTGGACAGAGGCAGGCGACTTCTGACGTTGTTAGTAGTTTTATTAAGGATAAGTTTGCCAATAATAAAACTACGTATAATCCAGGTGATATCATCCACGACATGCAAAATCACTATGGGATAAACCTGTCTTATCACAAAGCATGGAGATCAAAGCGCAAGGCGATTGATGAGGTACGTGGCAAGCCCGATGAATCATATGACTGCGTACACCATTATCTTGATAAAGTTCGTGCATCAAATCCAGGGAGTGTTTTGACTTTGTGCACAACAACTGAAGGGAATTTTATGTACGTATTCATGTCTCTAAACGCAGCAAAAAAAGGTTGGGCACATTGTCGACCAATTATTGTTGTTGACGGGACTTTTTTAACCTCAACGTACGGAGTTATTTTATTGACAGCTTGTTGCCAGGATGCAAATTTTCACATCTTACCGCTTGCGTTTAGCATTGTTGACTCGGAAAATAATCGTGCATACACTTGGTTCTTTACGAAATTGAAAGCAGTTATTGGTGAGAGAGATGGGTTGTGCATCGTGTCAAGCGGTCATGAAGCCATAAAACACGCTGTTTCTAGGGTATGTGTATATTGTTAGTATATGTTATGTATATATTACATACATATTTGATTAAATGCTGTAATTTTTTACAACATGAATACTAGTAACTGCCTTTTTTTTTATTTAGGTTTTTCCTACAGCTGCGCATTGTCTATGTACGTACCACATATCAAACAACCTCAAGATGCATTTTAAAACTGAAGTTGAATCAGTTAAGGATGCTTTCAATGCAGCGGCAAGAGCTTATACATTAGAGGAATTTGATAAGTATTGGTCACAATTGAAAAAGTTGAACCCGTCTGTGGTAACACATCTTGAAAAAATTGGCATACACAGGTGGGCAAGGGTTCACAGTCCAAATAACAGGTACTTCACCATGACATCTAACGCAGCTGAAACAATAAATTCTGCCATAAGATCTCTACGTGAGCTCCCAATAACTACACTATTAGAAGCGCTAAGAGACATGCAACAACGGTGGAATGCGGCGAATAGAGATGAAGCAAAGTCCACTTTTACTACACTTGCAAAGAAGCCTCATAATATGCTGGAGAATAATTACAAAGCATCAGCGGGATTCTCTGTAAGTGCACCTTTAATACATTATATACATACAATATACTGTATATATACAACTTTGGATAATAATTATAAAGCATCAGCGAGACTCTGTAAGTGTACTTGAATATCACATGGATTATACTACTGAATATATACCAAATATATACTATCTTTTGTATTTAATTAAGGTTATTATGACTTTTATATTTTTTGTACAGGTTCAAAAAGCTAGTGACAGTGTGTACAAAGTGGTAGCTAATGGTAAATCATTTGTAGTTGATATAGACGCTAAGACTTGTTCATGTCATCGGTTTCAAATTGAGGAACTCCCTTGTCCGCATGCTATTCGTGTGATAAAATCACTACATTTGGATCCTGTCCCATTTTGTTCAGCTCATTACTTGACATCAACTATGTTGAGTACATATGAT